GTTTCAATATATTTCCGATTTTCTATAAATATAACAATAATGTACTTTCTAAATTAAATATATGAATTATATTTCACGATCTTTCACGAATTTAGCAAAAGAAATGATTTTTTCTTAAAGAGAACAACTTCAGCCTTTTTCTAAATTTGCTATATAATTTCGCAATAAATGTTATTTTAAAATCGGATATTTTGACCGAAACTTGATGGAATCTACAATTCTTCTAAAACTATTGAATCATTGAAGCCAAATGAAATGTTATTGTATATCGGTCACTATCAAAACAACGAAAAAATATATGCTTTGACATCCGTCGAATACGGCTATAAAAAAAATGACTGGGAAATATTCTGCACCAACGACGAGACGTACAAATTCCTGGTGGATTCATAAAAATGTACTTTAGCTACCCCTGTAAAAAATAACAGGAGAGTCGGGGCGCACCATAAGAGCGTGAGAGTGCGCTATGTTAAAAAATCATGAGGGTACCACATCTTGCTCATCTCATCCCCCTCTGAAATTACATAAATTCGATCATTTTTTTCCCGAAAGGCATCATAATTCGTCAAGTCGTGCAAATAATTCCGAATAGTATACGCGTCGTCTCCTTTTGAACGTACATGAATATATACATAATTCGAATAACTCGACAGAAAATTTCAAAAGTAATTTCGGAAAATAGGAACGAATGTTTGTCCATTTCCCGCGAATGTGCCCACGACGAATAAGAGACTAAGATTCACGACGAACGTAAGAGTGCGAAAGGTTATGGGGTTGGGCTGACTGGTCGGCGCACTACGGCGAAATGTTTTCGTTCGAGGGGGAGGGAATGGGCCAACGTAGATGGCAACATAATCCCCGATCGAGGAGCCTGGCACATGGGAACATGGGGGACATCTTATCTTCATATTACACACCCGTGGTGGTTCTCAACCTGAATTGTCAGCAATGTGTTTCCAGAGCTCGCAGATATCCTAAAGCTGATAGATACAAATTATGTAGATCAATAATAGCGAATACAATTATTTTTCATTTCGTTTCTAAAATATCGAAATAAAATTAATTGCTACTCATTATTTAATTGCACCATTAATAATAAAAAAAATTAATTTATTCCTAAGAGCTCATTGAAAGTAGTGTAGTAAGGAAGCAAAATTGTATTAAATGTTTTAACGATATATATTAAAATGATTGAAAAAATAATTAATTATATAAAAAATATGAATATTTTTTAAATTTTGCAAAATACTAAAAATAAAAATTTATTAATTATTACAGAAATGAAGGTATTTCTTTAAAAACAGATTATTATAATGTAAAACAATTATGCTTCCACATAAAATAGGACATCGATCTTAAACCAAAATAGTCTAATACTATCATAAGAAGAAAAGGAAGACTCTTCTCCAAGACTGGAACAATCATGGTCGCTTATCGAACTTGAAATATCGTCAAGTCGAGGGTGCCGGGATCGCCTCGACACACTGCTGGTCTTCTCGAGGATCCCATAGTCCATCCCCTTCCTAGATCAATAATACCATTCCCGTGCCGGCGCATGCGCTCCGCAGTATTTCTCTTTACAACCCCCATACGCGAGCTGGTTTCCACCCCCGTTGAGCCGCGTTCACGACGCTGCGTACCCCATGCAACATTCATAGCGCCATCAATATTATACGCGCGAAATAATAACTTGTGCATTTATTATGAGGGGGCCGGCTTTCCTTGCAAAGACCGATATCAAAAAAAAGGGAATGCGCTCTTAGATCATGATAAATACGCGTGTAAACTGTTATGCAAATCGATCGACGAATGGTGAAGGGTCGTGAGAAAAGATGGATCGGTGTGTGCAATTTGTCCAGTGATCGATCAGTGAGAAAATTAGCTAAGCAATGCGTATAAATAAAGAATATTTTGTATTCAATTAATCAAGAAATTATCTATTTTTCACAATAATATACATTATTATTATATATCTGGCGATGTTTATAAACAATGTAAATAACAACACGGAAAATCTCGACTAGAAATTTCAATTCTCTCATGATTCAAATGTCAGTTAGTATCCGGTGATTGAAAAGATCACGTATACCTTGGCCATGCAAATCATAAAAGACGCGCGTTAAGTAGTTTACGTCAGAGCGACTTAAAATAGCGAAATAAAAATGCGGAAAGTACAGATACGTTGCTCTGAAAAATAATTTACAATCTTGTTTCTTATCGTAATAACGTCATTTTGCTTATCATGCGCCAGTCACAATGCTTGCGAAACACTGTGTTGGCATAAAAATCAATTTTAATTTTATCGCATTCCGTTATCGCAGCGATAACGGAAACAGCGTAATTGCTCGGAAGTCAACCATGTTTTCGAGTATCGGCTTTACCATCGTTTGATCTCGACGTCTTTCAGTTAGAACTGTCAATGTTGGAATCGTTTTGGTTATATATATGATTTCGTAGTGAATGTGATTAAGAATTGTTCTTGTTACGGAAGAAAATTGTTTGTCTTTCATCATGTTTAATCGAATATCGAAATCTCTGTTAACCAAAGAAACGAGGGATTATTTAATGAGGTAATGTTTACATTCAATATACATATAGTGTGTTGATTTAAAAGCATCATATATGATATCATGTAATATATTTCATTTTTACGAAAAATTCAATTTTACTAGCAATTTTTTGGCAAGTTTGAAATAGATTTTTTTCCAGTCTAGATATCGAGATCTGTTGTTTGTAAAATTTTCCTTTTTTTCCAAAATTGTATATAAATACAATTTTATATTTTATACATATTATTTACAAATTGTTATGAAGCTAATATAAAAAAATAAAATTGTTTCGTTAATCTGCTACTCATTATTTAATTGCACCATTAATAATAAAAAAAATTAATTTATTCCTAAGAGCTCATTGAAAGTAGTTTTACGGAAAAAAATTATATTTTGGAAAATTCCGCGCGAAGATTTTCATTTTATATATTCTCATTCTGAAAGTAAAGTGCATTCCTTGCAGTTTCTCTGTTAGTATCAACCGATACATTCCGCCATGCGAAATCGATATCTCACGAGATTAATAAATGTCGCATCGGCTCTGGAATTGAATCGATCGATGTCGTATAACATGCTCCTGGATCGCGTTACCTTAAAAGTTTCGCAGAGAGCAGTAAACAACTTTTGCTTCACACTGGGCGAGAATCACGCGTGTTACCGCGCGGAAGATCCGGAAGTAGATGGACGTGCGTGCACGTACACACGCGGATACACCTACAAGCTCGCATATAGAACGATTTCAGCGACTGTGAGGATGGTTTATGACCCGTAACCTTTCTACCCCTTCGAGCCCCCCTACCTTCCTTCGCGGATCTCCTCTATCCCGAGCAACGTGACTCCATCCCCCTGTAAACTCGATCCAATATATTAGGGTTAGCTTCGGTGGGAAGAAGCTATCGACGCCGACCTACCGAATCGCCGTCTATGCCATTTCTATCCGTCGAATTTTCGGATTCGCTTCAAAATCGCTCCATAGTTTGGACTTCGATAATCGATGGAAAAACTAACAGAGAAATTAACCTTGGAAGAAACATGCATATCGCAAACGACGATCGCGTTCTTCGAATGAAACACGAGATATTTTATACATTGCTGAAGAAACGTTTAATTATGATTCTAAAAATCAGGTTAAACATATTAAAAAATAAATAAATAAATTTTTATATTATTTAATATA